GATCCCATGATTCCTTGTACTTTCTCCTATTTTCTTGAAATTTTCGTCTCCCCCCCTAACATCTACCATGTTCCCATACAGCAGGGAACCGACCGCAAGAAACCTCACAAGAAACCCAACCCTGAGACCCCAGGACGCCCATTAACTTGTGGCGTGGGAACCCCACGCTTTCCACAGCAAAACCATCGAAACCCAACAAACCCAGGGCACCCTGGAGGCAAGCAGGGTGTGTCTTGGCATGAGCCCCCACTCACTCCCTTGGGGATCGGCGATGAGTTACGTCTGTGCGTGTTTCTGTTCCTTCCCGCCAGCCCCAGCCGTTGGCTGCCGCTCCCCGCCACCCTTGCCACCGTGGTTCGCCACGGCCGCGCACCGCGCTCTGGTCCTGCGCGCCTGGCTGCTGCTGCCCCCCCGGCTGCTCGTCGTCGAATTCGTCGGCGTCTGAGCGTCCCTCTTTGCTCGCCGGCCAATTCGCCAGTTAGTGTTCCCACCTGGCTTCTCGCTGGAGCGGAGTTCGCCGCCTCGCCGCTGACGAAAAAAAGACGTTCCTCCCTGGCTTGTGTAGGGAATCGAACTCTATACACTGACGCATCTTCCGGCCCTGCCTTGAAATTCGCACTGGAGAGCGGATCCTGGTGCACACGGGACCCTAGTGTATACGCTTCTCGCTGTTTCCCCGGGACATCGGAGAAAAAACGTGCACACCACACCACCCCGACGTCGTCCCCGACCCTCGAAAAAGTCCTGGGATTGAAAACCGCCACGGCCGCGGAGGAGGAGGAGAGGGAGACGAGGAGGAGGGAGGAGGAGGGGAGGACGACAAGGAGGAGGGCGCCGACGAGGAGGAGCGGACGACGAGGAGGAGGGAGGAGGGAGGAGGGAGGGCGGCAGAGGCCGCTCCTCGGCGGGCTCCCGAGGAGTGCCAGATCTTTCTTGCGCCGCACGCCCGCGGGGGCGGCGGCCCACCTGTGGGCCTCCGCGGGGCGTGCCCGGCCCCGCTCGGCCCCGCGCGCGCTCGCCCCGCGCCGTGCGCGCCCCGCCCCGCGGCGCGGCCGCTCGGCACGGCACCGGCCGCTCCCGAGCACGAGCCTGGACCATATCCCTATCCCTATGCTGGGCACCTCCTCATCACGAGGCCGATCTTAGGGATTCCCTTATTTTTTGAAGGCGAATCCCTAAGATTGTCATCGCCTTCTGGCGTGTCAATCTCAGGGATAGGGATACGTTAGAGGCTGGTAATCCCGAGCACGAGCTGCCCGCGCGCGGACAACGCCCCAGACAGAATCGCGTCGTCAAAGATCGGGACGGGGAGCTTTTGGCTCTCTTCGGCCTCGGGGGGCCCTCGCCGGGCCTCGGGACCGTCAGAAAGCGACTCGGGACGACAAACCGGTCCCCGGAGGGAAAGGGGCGGGACTTCCAGGGACGCCGTCCAGGAAAAATCAGGACGTCGCAGGTCTGAGACAGCGCCAGCCCTGACGTCTGCCGCGTTGCCTCGAGATTGTCTGTACGTGTTGCTTCGGGACAGCAGCCACCTTGCCACCTTCGCTCCGCTTGTCCACACTTCCTCGCCTGGTCCACCCAAGCGCAGCCGTCTGGCGCGGAACCGGCAGCGACTGCCCCGACGTCTGGTGAACGTTCTTCTTTCTTCGGAGTCGCGACACTGGGCAGGAAGGGGGGGGGAGGGAAGGGGTCTGGCTCCAGAACCTCTGCTCAGCGCGACTGCTTGCAGCGGTGCGGCCTATGTGGGAGACCCCACCTGCTCGAAATAGGCGCCCCAAACAGCCAAGATCTACTCCATATGGGGGGGTGCGAGGGCCCGCGCCTAGCAGCAAAACAATGTATAAAAAAACGCCCACCTGCTGCGCTGCCTTGAGATTGTCTATTCGTCTTGCTTCGGGACAGCAGCAGACCCTGCCACCTTCCTCCCCCCACTCAGTGTCCGACTGCACTCCCCCCCTTCCTGTGAGGGTGGGAAGGGGAGGCACGAGGCGGACCTGTGCAGATGGCCTCCTCCACTGGGAGCGAGAGGCTGGAAGCCTCCTAGATGGGGTTCGACTAGATGGGGTCGGAGGATCGCGCCGCATCGGCGACACATCGGCGATGCGTCGGTGATGCCCTGGCGATGCGTCGTCGACGCCGGCGATGCATCGGCGACGTCAACGTGCAGCCCATAGGGCTCCACATCGAGCCGCGTGGCCGATGCATCGAGGATGCGGCGCGATTCTCGGACCCCATCTACTCCGACCCCATCTGCGAGGCCTAGATCCACTGGGAGAGAGGTAAATTCAGGGGAACGAAGAATGACATAAACATAAAAACTCGGAGGTCCGCGAGAATTCCTCGGGTCCACGCTGGACCCCTCTCCCTGGCGCGCGGAGCGCGCCAGGGGCGGCGCCGCAGGCGCCGCCAGGGGCGTCCAGCGCGGATCCGAGAAGAAACCCGGAGCAGGAGGAGGAGCAGGAGGAGGAAGGAGGAGGAAGGAGTAGGGGGAGGAGGAGCAGGAGGAGGGGGAGGAGGAGGAGGAGGAGGAGGAGGAGGAGAGGAGGAGGGGAGGAGGAGGAGGAGGAGGAGGAGGAGGAGGAGGGAGGAGGAGGAGGAGGAGGAGGAGAGGAGGAGGAGGAGGAGGAGGAGGAGCGAGGAGGGGAGGAGAGAGGAAGGGGAGGAGGAGGAGAGGAGGGGAGGAGGAGGAGAGGAGGAGGAGGAGAGGAGGAGGAGGAGGAGGAGGGAGGAGGAGGAGAGGAGGAGGAAGGAGGAGGAGGAGGAGGAGGAGAGAGGAGGAGGGAGGAGGAGGAGGAGGCGAGGAGGAGGAGGGAGGAGGAAGGGAGGAGGAGGAGGAGTAGGAGGAGGAGGAGGAGCAGGAGGAGGAGGAGCAGCAGGTAGGGGGAGGAGGAGCAGGAGGAGGAGGAGCACGCATCGGGGCAGAAGCATCGCGGGAGGGCCGCCCGAAACGACGGCGGCCCTCCCATGGCGTTTCTCGTCCCCCTCGGCACTCCCAGAGGCCTCTCGTCGCCACGGCTGGAGCCGCCCCGAAAACGCGAGGGGCCAAGATGGACCCCGAGAAGGGTCCAGGGACCGATCACTCGAGGATGGGATCGGGACTCGCCCCCCATCTATTTTTGTGTCGACACCTCGAATCAAACGTAGAATGCTCGGTCTGCGAACACTGCACGAACGTTTCTGTTCCCTGGCTGCGGCGAGAAAATCAGATCTGAGGTACAGAAATTCTGGGCGTGGTCGATCCCCCATTCTGGCCATCGCTCGGACGTCCATTCCCTGTGCTTTTCTCGGTTCCGTGCGTGGCTTTTTCGCGGGATGATCCAGGATGCTCCTCGATAATCCCCGCCGTAAAAAAAGTGCACACGTCCGAGCGATACCAAGCTGTTCGAATCATGAGTGTGGGCCGGACGGGAGAGCCGCGGGTTACGAGGGAAGCTCCTGGAGGCCCGGCGCGTCAACCTGGGAACCAGTTTACGCCAGAGCCACTTCGGAACAACACCCAAATTTACGTCGGACTCGCGCCGGATGTACGACGTCGGATTGCGAGGCGGGGATGTATCCACATCCACCGCCTGGAAACCGACGTCCTGGTGCCCCAGCGGGCGGTGGATATGGATATGTTTCGGCCCCCGGGGGCCCGAATATGAATATGTCCATATCCACCGCCCGGCGAGGCTCCGAAAACTGACCCTCCAGGAGGTGGTCATGCAAAAATTCCTGCCTCGGAGTCGGACGTACGACGTCGGACTTGCTCACGTCGGAACCTCGCCGCCCGACGTCGTCCCGTGCCCGACGGGGCGATCGCCTGGACTGGAGTGTGCAGCTCACTGAGAGCGCCGCGCGAAGCCTCCATGGAGCTGCCTCGTAGCGCTGGTGCTTTAGCTGGCCCTCCTCTGACGACCTACCAGACCACCCCAACCCAACCCGAAGACCGAAATTTCGGGTTGGGGGGGGTATGGGTTCCATACGTGTTTTTTCTGTGTTCCCCGACCCCCCCCCCCACTGGCAATGGAGGGCAAATGGAGGCCTTCGGGGTGGGTTGGGGGTGTTTTAGCTGGCCCTCCTCCGAGCCACCGAAGCGGGAGATCGCCGAAGCGGCATGCGCGACGGGATTCGGCTGCAGCGGCACGGAATCGAGAGATCGAACCGGAACGGCTGCGCCGGGATGCACAGCAGCGCCACTGAGCAAGCTGAAGGGGCCCTGGGACACACAAATAAATACACAAATAAAAGGATTCCCCATATTTTCGCATATTTTCTGGATTTCGTCTTCCCCACCACTTCCCATATTTTCCTATATTTTCTGAGAGATCGACGATTAATTGTGTCTGTGTATTTGTTCCCCTCCTGACAAGCATCAGGTCGAATCGGGCCTACCAGAATAGATATCGAAGCGGAACGATGGGATCGACACACACCCTGCAGGGGGAAAGACAACCCACCAGAAAGCAGTGAACCATCCACACCCAAGACCTCTGCAGGCTCGACAAGAACGCCCTCGCATGTTTCTGCAGACTCCAGTGACCAGAGGACGCTTCGGGGCAATGCGCCACCGTGCCTCCTGCACGTTGGGGGTGTGTTCGAAAACTTGCCAACTGTCTCGTAGAGCGTCTTTTGTACGTCTGGGGCCGCTCCTCCCCTCACACCCCACTGGCTCTACTGCCCTTTTCTGCCTCCACACGCCTCGGAGACAGCCAAAGACCGCCCCGGGGAGACTGCTTGTCGTAGATCGCTGATGCAGCGTGACCTGCAATGAAAAACGGATGCGCAGCACTGAAAAAAACAATCTATGTACAAGACCTCTTGAAAACGAACCGTGCGGTCATCATGCACGGGCGTGCCAAAGCTCTGGCCGACGACTGAGGTGGAAACCCGACGCGGCTGTAAACCCGAGCACCTCCACAGACAGACCTTTGAAATGCGCGGAGCCGTCCAGGTCACGCGCGGCCCACCAATCAAACTGCCGCACTCTGGACGCGCAGTGGGCCCGCGGGGGGTCTCGTCTACCCCTCCTTCTGCTGCTGCATCCTGTACTCGTCGCAGAGCCTCCTCATGTCGGTCTCGATGGGATCCTCGGACTTGCCACGAGGCTCACCCACCTGGGGAAACGAAAAAGTACCGATACCACTACTCCCCGGACCTCTCCCGAGGTGCGGTCTGACCCGAATTTCGAGGGAAATCCCGCGGCGGCGGCGAGGGCCTCCCAGGAGGCCCCAAAAAGGGGAACACGGCCGAAGGCTCGAGGTATGGGTACCTCTTCTGGCCATCGCTCGGACGTCCATTCCCTGTGTTTTTGTTCGGTTTCGTGCGTGGCTTTTTCGCCAAATGATCAAGGATGCTCCTCGATGGCCCTCGCCGAAAGAAAAATGCACACGTCCGAGCGATTCCAAGTCTTCCTCCTCCGACCACCTCGCCGGCACCTCCCGTCCACGCTACCACGGGCGGCGCCTTGAACGTCAGCCCCGCACGGGCGCCCAGGGGCGAGCCCACGAGCGCCGCCTCCGGATCCGCCCCGGCGCCGAGCGCGAAGGGCGGCGACATGTCCGGGGTCCAGTCCACGAAGCGGTCCCGCGCGCCGCGCCCGGCCGCCTGCTGCTGGAGCGCGTCGTAGTAGGAGCGCACGGGGGAGGGCGGCGGAGTCCGCAGGGCCGCCTGCGCGTCGAGGGCCGCATCGAGGCGAGGGAGGGGCATCGCGAGAGCGGCGGGCGAGGGAGAGGGCGAGTCGCGAGGTCGGCGGGAGGCAGCGGGCGACGTCTGCGGATCTTGAGCCACAACGGCTGCAGAGAGGCGGCAAGGCTCCACAAGACAACGGCCCAACGAGTCCCCAAAGGAATCAGCATCTCCCCGGGATGACAAAAGAGGTGCCCAGAAACCTCCACGAAGCGCCCAAAGAAGCTTCTTCCAACGAGGCCCTACGATGAGCCATTGGCTCTGGGAAAACTAAGCAATCTGCTGTTGCGCCGTGGCGCGGCAGAGGCAATCCGCCCACTCGCTCGAAGTGCCGCGCTCGGAGTTGCCCGGGGGGGGGGGGGATCTGGAGACTAGCTGGCCGGCTGCAAGTGCAGGACAGGGCAGGGAGGGCCGGCCGCAAAGGACTGCAAAGGGAAGAAAGCACCCACCGCTCGGCGGCAAGCGAGGGGGGGAAGTGAGAGGGAGCAGGCCTTCTCAGAAGGCTCGGAAGTCCCCCGGCCTTCTGAGAAGTCGTCTGAGCCTTCCCCGAAGACACAAACACAACACCTCTCGGAAGGCGCGAGGGCTTCTGAGAAGCCCCGCCGCCGTCCGAGAAGGCCGTCTCCTTCTCGCTTTCCCCTCCCCTCGCTCGCCGCCCAAGGGCAGGGAGGGGCGGCCGCAGCGGACTCGAGGGGAAGCGAGCACCCACCGCGGAAAGGATAGGGCGCGGCGGGGCGCCCAGCTGTGGGGCCCGAGTGGCCCGGCCGCGGGCGCGGGACGGCGCCGCGACCACACCCATAGGGGCCGCAGCCAGGGCTGCAGGCGCAGGAGCGCGACGAGCCAGGTTCGGCGGCGAGCGAGGGGGGGGAAGTGAGAAGGAGGAGGCCTTCTCAGAAGGCGGCGGCACTTCTCGGAAGTCCTCGCGCCTTCTGAAGAGTGTTTTGCGTCTTCAGGGAAGGCACAGAAAACCTTTCAGAAGGCCAGGGGACCTCCGAGCCTTCTGAGAAGACCTTCTCCTTCTCACTTCCCCCCCATCGCTCGCCGCTGACAGGTAGACCAGGACGTCACGGAGAAAAGGATGAAGGGGCCCTGGGACACACAACTAATTACAGACAAAAAAAACAGGATTCCCCATATTTTCCCATATTTCCACGGGTTCTGTCTTCCCCCCCACTTCCCATATGTCCCCACATTTTCTGGAGAATCGACGATTACTTGTGTCTGTGTGGTTTCTTCCCTCCCGAAAGGAAGAGGACCCACGACACCTGGCGCGGGAGCATCCAGCAAACTCTGCTGCAGAGGGCCGGCGCCGGCTGGCTGCGGGAACACCGTCCAGACGACTGTGCGAATAGCCCGCGAGGGGCTGCGCTGTAGGGCGCGCGGGCTGCAGCAACACGCTGCCGCACGAGGCCCCCAGTCGACGAGCGCATTCCACTACTCGCACAGTAACTACTCGCAAATGGCCTGGATCCCCCGCCAGGGATCTGCGATAACTTCGGTCAAAGCAGAGAGGTATGTTTCGGACGCTTGCGAGTAGGCACCTTGCGGGTGGTGGAAGGCGCTCGGTGACCCAGGGTGCCGGCGGCTGCCGAGGAGGCGCAGCAGGTGGCGGCGTGGCGGGCCCGGCCGCAGGGACAGCCAGGCAGTGGCGAGCCCAGCCGCTCAGGAGGCGGGGCGGTGGCGGCGGGCCGCCCAGCGCGCAGCCCTTGGAGGGGCCGCCCGCAGAGCAGGGCCACCAGGGAGGGAAGGGGGGGCGCGCGAGGGAGGGAGGGGTAGCCAGGGGGCGTCCACCTCTGGGGGGGGGCAGACGCTCGAGTCAGGTCAAGAGGGAGACCTAAGCAAGACAAATCAGTGCTCGGTTGATTCCGAGGCTTGTCGGTTTGAGATCGCCTCGGGACAGCATCGGCGATCCCCCAACAAGCCTCCGAGACGGCCCGAGTGGCCGCGAGGTAGCTCCCCTGGGCAAGCGTGACCTTTCTGGCGCACGGCTTGACGGCGGGGGCCGCGGCAAGGTGGGGGGGAACCCAAGCGAGAGAGCCGCTGACACCGCATCGCACTCAGCGACAAGGGGACCACTCTGGGCCCGCACCCGCGGTCACCCTGGCGACAGTTCACTCTCACGTGTTGCCGACCCTCCCCCTCCTCCCACCCGCCGCGCGCGCTGTCCCCGGTGCCGCTGGCGCCGCGCGCGCGCACTGCGCACTGCGCGCGCGAGCGACAGACCCCACGGCGGCGACGGCGGAGGGGCGAGCTCGCCACCCCCCCTCCAGAGCAGAGCGACTTGACACAACGGCGACTCAACATCGGTTCCTGGACACCGTCCCCGGATCCAAACGCACCAGTTTGCCGAGCTGCGTCTAGTCGTGGCGACGAGAGGCTCCCCCGACGGCCAACTGTCGCTGTCCCACCTCGCCCCCGTGAGGGGAGCAAACAATGACATAAACAAACGTTCGGAGGTCCGCACGGATTTCCCGGATCGGCGCTGGACCCCCTCCTTAGCGCGCAGCGCGCGCCAGGGGCGGCGCCAGGGTGGACCTCCGAAAGATTAACAGCACACCTCTGACAATGAACCCCTGGGAAAATAAGAATTCGGGGACACGGCAACTAGCATGCGCGGGCGCATGTAGGAGTAGTAGTAGTAGTAGCACTAGTAGTAGCACTAGTAGTAGTAGTAGTAGTAGTAGTAGTAGTAGTAGTAGTAGTAGTAGTAGTAGTAGTAGTAGTAGTAGTAGTAGTAGTAGTAGTAGTAGTAGTAGTAGTAGTAGTAGTAGTAGTAGTAGTAGTAGTAGTAGTAGTAGTAGTAGTAGGTAGTAGTAGTAGTAGTAGTAGTAGTAGTAGTAGTAGTAGTAGTAGTAGTAGTAGTAGTAGTAGTAGTAGTAGTAGTAGTAGTAGTAGTAGTAGTAGTAGTAGTAGTAGTAGTAGTAGTAGTAGTAGTAGTAGTAGTAGTAGGAGTATTAGTAGTAGTAGTAGTAGTAGTAGTAGTAGTAGTAGTAGTAGTAGTAGTAGTAGTTGTAGTAGTAGTAGTAGTAGTAGTAGTAGTAGTAGTAGTAGTAGTA